GTTGAATTCTGAGGAACCTGATATTCCATCTCCAGAACCCAATCCACTACTTGAATGTCTTAATTATAATTATTCCTCTTTATCTTACAATTTGTATGCAATTAGGAACAAATCTGATTTTTATGCCAAAATGGTTACCATATCCACATCTTTACTTCTTAGTATCTTACTATATTAATCTTAACTGTCCCATACCCCCTCCTTTCAAAATTTTATCGGTTGTCAATAACTCGAAAAAAAAGAATTAATTTGAGTGGATTTGCTCCTTCTGAAAGCTTGACTAGAAATTAACTTAGCACCAACACAGTTTCAGACCATTTCTTTCAGTCATTGGCAATATTTCATGATTCAAGTTTCAGATATTTCCAGTGAATATGGCTTCTTGACTTTTGCTTCCCTGGCACAATAGGGTATCCTATACGAGTGTGTTAGTAGTACGCTTGCAACCGTGATGGACCAAAAGTGGAACCTATCCTTGCATCCAGATTCATTATGGAGAAACAAAAGTGGGGTGGTTGGTGTCAGAGTGACTATTGGCTAGATCAGACCGCATACTTACCGGTCTCCCATCGTTCTTGGTGGAGTTAAGGAGACGCGCAGCAAGTGACAGCAAGCTCACCACACATAGCATTCCTCCTGACCTACAAGCTCTACTTAACAATTTTGCGCACATCAATAAACCTTTTCACTCCACTGTCAATAGAAAAACCACTCCAACCTGCTGAATATCCACTAATCATCGATCGCCGTTACTCATATACAGTCGTGTTTTTTGTTAATTTTGGAGTTTATATTAACACAAGTGGTGCACACTGGGCAACGTATACTCATACGGCCAAAATGTCTATAATCCGGTAGTTGACTTGTGACTTCTAACTACAATGACCTGACCCTACGTCAAGTTCGACCACTTTCACAGTACCCATCTTACCTTTTCCTCTACCTTTGTGTCTGCCACTTATACACCTCCATATCACTCTTCTGTTTCCTCTCTCGACTTTCTGTGACTTTGGTGTTCCTCCCTTCTGTCAAGCCCCGAAGTCAACGAAAGGACTAATGATGATTATGAAAAACTTGCTATTTTAGGGGTGTGGCATTATTTTCAGTAATACACATCCTACCCTAACTTCCCGTTCTATTTCTATATACACTTTAATAGTACTTTTCTCCTTAGTTCTTTGAAATACAAATCCAAAATATATCGTGTAAGGCTCTATTCGTCTTATCGCGAATTGTTATGAGCGTTATTCAAACTACTAATGGTAACTTTTACTTATATTTCCTAATATCATTTCACGAAAAGTGTTATCTATTCATTAACCTTAAAAATGCCCTTAAATTCGTCCTTCAGTTTATGATTCTCAATCACTTACCCAGAAATTCTTTGAACATGTGTTGGTAAATCCAGACTGATTAAGCTTTGGCATGCGTCCGATCCGATTTGCCAAACTTCCAATCTCAAAATATTCGAAAACCCCCACCAAGGAATCACAAATCTCCCACACTAATGGACTTTGTTAGAGACGGAAATCGATATTGCTAACTGTTTTAGCCACAACAGTCCCATCAAACTAAATTCGTCATTGACATCTTGACGAATAGGCCTTATTCATGATTTTATGTACCTTACCTTGCTACGCTTTGTATCCGACACCTTTAAAGATACGAGGTATTTTCATTTAAGACTGACCTTAGGCACCAAGTGTCCCTAGCTCAGATTCCTCAGAGCACTTAGGACTAAAAGTCGACTATTCTGAGATATACTTAATTCGTTTTTCATTCGTGGTTTTATTTCAGTTTGAGACAACTCCACTTCTCATTCTAACTAAACTTTATTAAAAATGTCAATATTTTTCAATGCCAGGACTTATCCAAAATGTTTAGTTCAAGTCCTCACAACTTCGTTAAGTAATTCCCAACCTTGTTCAGGAAAGATTTCCCAACACCCGTCTAGAGCAAAGAAGGATCATGAAACTCGTATGAGAAGATCGAATTTAAAAAAATAGAAGTATTTTTATTAGGCAGACTTGACATATAATTTAGAAGACGTGCACGTTAATCGGAGCGCCACTGGTACCTCTACCAGTACGATATTTAGAAACAATTATCTTGTGATGCAATTAAAACGAATACAACGACACTACCCATCGAGCACTGGATTATTTAACATTGTCCTTCTGAGCTTGTGCCTGGGAAATCCAATGCCTCGAAACTGCACTAACTACTAACTGACCAGACAGTCCAATAGTCCCTTCAATTTTCATTTTTCTACTAAGATTATTTACAAATAGTCAGTTTTCATGAGTTGCACTCTTAAGTGATATAAACTCTTGCCTAATGATATATTCTCACTAAGATTTAACAGCAACACCAAACTTGATTGGCTTTTGTAAATTAAATTTCAAGCAAAACTAGAATGTTTGCCAAACCCAGGTGGATATTTACTTACCCTATCAGAGTTGCAAAAGCCCACTGCCAGAAAAATCGGCTCACGATCACGCTCACTAAAAAGACCAATCCATACAAAGAGCCGTCCCAGCAAAATTCCTCTGGGAAACCCAGTGTTCAAGCTCCAGCAATAATGCCTCCATAGTTCATTTAATCTAAAATCGAAGAGAAAGACTAGAAAAAAAACTAACGCAAGGTTAAGGTTTAAGCAATCCAATGAAATAGCCAGGAAGTTCTAGAAAATTGCACTGGCAGATATTTTCTCCAAGCATTCTACAATTTCCTAAAAATCATCACAATGTAAACAACTATAGTGAGGGAAAGGTATAGAATAGTGATGAGCAAGCTACACTGGAGGAGGAGTGGAAATAGGTGTGCGCTGATGGATGAAGTGGCCACAGAAGCATGATTCGTGGATTGACAGGTCTTTGATTACCTTCGGAATTGAAGTGAAATAAATCAGATCAGAGAACTATAAAACTGAAACAGTCGGAGCGCAGCGCCTTAGTTAAAGAACAGCGACACGCCTCTGTTCTCGACACAGGGTATTAGATGGCGAACAGAACGGTGAGAACATTTGTAAATATGAGCTGGGAAAACAAGTATAATACAATTACCTGGGTTCCAAAATATCTTAAGCTTGGCCGACTGCCACTGATGAAATAGATAAGTGTACCGATTCCAAGGGAATCCAACTAAATAGCCGTTTCTCTAATAACTAGCAACAGGGTCTTACAGTACAATTTTAAGTATTATAATATAAATTTGAAATTCTTAAACGCCTACAAATCAAATAAACCGGAAAAGAGCAATAAATTTGCCACACAAATTGGGTCAAATTATATTTAACCGGATAAAATTTACAGATTTACAAGTTGCAGTAATAAAAATGCAATGGTTAGGGGAGATGAAATGTTGGCATTATAGGTACTACTGCTCTTGCGACTTGCCCTGCTTTGAGTTAGAATCATTATCGCTTTTTGCCTTTCCTTCACCATCTCGTCTGTTTTGATGGCTAAACTGTTGTCTATTACCCGAGCTATAAGTAAATCCACCTCTCTGGTTACCACGATAGAAAGTATTGCCACGACGACCACCTCTGTAATTTCCGCCACGATAGTTCATTCGAGTAGCTGAAGGGCCAAAGGTAATAATATTCACCTTTCTGTCATCACGAGTGGATCGATTTTTTGGTACCCTAGAGTGAGAGAACAAGAGAATAAACTGATAAAGTGAAGTACCCATTAGCACGGTCCATTAGCTCAGAACTCAAAGTATCAAAGAACGATTTAGAGCTATTATAGGCTTCTTCTTCTTGATGTCCACTGTCTTCACCATGCTCCGAGGTTGTATTACTACTCTATAGAGAACAGATATCAGACAAACTTGAGCCATTCTTACCGCTTTAAGATCAATCTTTTCGAAAAATTCAGCCAGCTCAGCGTTAGGTTTATCGAAGTCATACTCCTGTTTATAGTCAATATCATCATGACGAAACCTAAATTCACTATCATAGTTTCGCCTTTGATTATAGTTCCGCTGTGGGTGAGAACCGCCGCGATTATTACGATGGTAACTAGAATAATTTGGACGAAAGCTACCGCGATTTCTATCATGTTGTAATTGGTTGTCATTCCTCGGTTTCTCTTCTTTATCCTGCACTCCTTGTGAGGAGCTTCGATAAACTTCCTGGGACTTAGATTTGACATTGGAATCTCCTGCAGGCGTACCAGCCGTTTGTGGTGGATTATTAGAGTCTGTTCCCTCATTATCCGCGTTGGTTAATCCTCCAACGTTACCCCATGAAGGAGGTAGATCAGATTGGATACTGCTTTGCTGATGGGCAGGTGGAAATAAGTTTGATAAACCAGAGAAAGTTGAAGCAGGCTGTTGTTGAGAGAACAATCCAGACATTGTGGGCATATCGCTAACAGCACCAGAAACAGGTAAAGATGATGATGACGATTGTGGCTGCTAAAAATGTTACGCTATTTAAAAGTGTTTAGAAGCAAACCTCAAGTTCGGCACTGATTATAGAAGGATCATTTCCAACATCAGAATTAGGTAGCAACTGTAAATCAACTAATTCACGCCCACGAAAAGCAATATGCTCATAAATTTCGTTCATTGGTTTTACAGGATGTTCACAAGGCCTACCCTCGGTTCCGTAAGAGGTAACTAAAGACTGTCAGAAAATACTCTCCTTAACACACCTTTAGAAAGCACGAGAACAAGTTCATTGTTCTCATCTTTACGAAGAGTATACAGCACTCCTTCATACCGAATCTGGGCTTTAGATATAATTCTCACCCGATGCCCTATAAGTGAGGCCTCAAAAATAGACATCTATCGGGCAAAATAAGCACAAGGGGAACCAATCGCGGATAATGGGAATAATAAATGAAGTTCAACACTCATTATTAGTTCGATAAAACAAGACCAATCAAGCGTAAGTATATTCGGTGACTTACAATGAATTAAAATATTGACTAAATATTTAAATGAAACTATCAAAATTGATTCACTAAAGAAAACAAAATAATATTCAGAGTTATAATTCGAGCAGATTTATAGTTATTCTTAAGAGTGATTTATAATGTATGGCAATAATGCAAATTTAATTGAGAATAACCGCAATATTTATCAAATATTGATTCGATAAACTATTTTACACACAATCGTCACTAAATCATCCATTGAAATCTATTTTAAATTTGAGTCTCGTAAAAGGTTAAATGCGCATATATATGACATTAACTGGAACACGACAATTTAATTTAAAGCATTTATTTTCACTGGATTTCCAGAAAAGTGAATTGAGCACGAAATTTCGAATAAGTATTGTGCCAAAATTTCAGCAATAGTTAGAGCGATTCAAGATGACCACTCCAAATGTATACTCAAATTTGTTCAAATAAACTGTCATCATTTTTACCGCGATTAATGCAGAAATTACTACGATTGAATTTCATTTTTGCAAACTTTTGTATTTGTCTCTAGTTAACTAAGCTTATTCCATATGGAAATTAGTTTTTAACAGAGCATAAAACTCTTTTAATAAAATATTCTCTGTGGCATGTCATGTTCCTTCTCTATGGACCCGGCCAACTTAGCCTTACTACTGTATCATATATATATATATATATATATATATATATAGTATTGTTTTGTTTTGCCAATGTAAAGTATTCCAAAACGTGGACCTAATTTTATAAATTTTGAAGCCATCAGCACTCATATACTGTTAGAAAATCTTTTGTAGATGAGAAAAGTTACTACTAAATTTAACGCAATGTTGAAAATATTATTAGCATTTTAAATTTACAAATGTTTTTTAGTACAGATCCAATGAAAGCTAACATCAATCTGCCCATATCGAAAAAAATTTGTACTTTTTAAAGCAATAGCATGCATCTTGACTGCCAAAAATTTATCGTGAAGGATCGGGTCCATGGTTATGAATTTGAGAACTTGCAATACAAGCTGTAATACAGGTATAAATGTCATATTATGGTTATGTTTACTTATTAGTTTGATAATTACAACGCATGCCCCGATTAAAGAGGAGGAGAATGATTCTGGATTTGGATAACGATATATTTTTTCGGGATTAATTGAGATTATGGTCATACTTTAAGTTGTATCTGATTGTTGACAAATAGGATTCCATTTGATTGTTAAATACTTGATATTACTCAAAAATTGCAGTCTTAGGCTCAAATAATTGCATTTTTTCAGAAGCTTTGACGATTTTGTAATAAACTAGTCCTGTTCTTGTTGTTAGGAGCAATTTCTCTAGAAATGGGAAGAGGGAAATGCCATCTGTGGAGGCAAATACCACCCAGGAGGTATCGATAAGATGAAGAAACTTGGTATTCGACAGAGGAAAATACCTGTGTTGCAAGATATGCACATTAAGACATAAATACCGTCATTTCGTACAACAAACACATGAGATTAGTGTTTTACTCAATGAGAGGCTAATTTAGCTGAATGTCTAAATTATAAAAGTATCAGATATGCTTAATTATACCGTTGTAATGACGTTATTTTCAGTTGATTGATAATATTCTTGATATTCTTCTGAAAATGCTTCCATTCCTCAATATAACTTACATTACTTTCAACGAGAAATAATACATTGCGTCACTTTTATTATGCACTAACGCAGTCAGTTATGCGGTACATTTTTTCAGTTCCTACTGAGCTGGAAACTACTGCAGTAATAACATAAACTATTTTCGCATATAAATTTTTTCATTTTAACCCATCGAAGGAACTTTCAACTCATTTAGTTGCTAACTTAAGCAGAGCCACATAAATTGTCTAACGCATTTTTAGTATTATACATTACACATTGATTATAAACGACAGAAAAGTTTGAAAGATCACAGACCATCTTGTAAATATGGAGGGGATCCCGGTAATTGAGAATTCGGCAAAAGTAGGCATTTCGATAGAACTTTAGTGTGCCAGGAGTTATTCGAAGTCTACATATTTTATTGATGGAGTTGCAGTCTGGAAAATAAGATTGACAAACCCTATCAGTGAGTCTCTTGCAATTTTAATGATGAAAATTTGAGATTAAAATTTCGTTGGACGTTTAGTGAAGGTCAAGCAGATCAAAATATAATGCCTTACCAAGACATACCATCTTAAAAATGACACCTTAATTGGTCGTTGCTGAATATTAAGAATTAGCATAACAACAGATTAGTAATTAAAATATACATTAAATGTTATCAGTTGGGAACTATTATGCATTATTAAGTCATTAATAGCCTAAACACATGAGATCATTTCTCTTTCAAAACAACACCAAGTGAATCAATCTGAATATTCTTCATAAAAATATTTTACTATAGAAAGAAGGTGACTTGGTACTTAATCAAATAAGGGTGTAATTATATGTTTCTAAGCAAAAACTATGAAGTAGTCTCGAAATTATTCAAAAATCATTTATTACTTCTATACTTTACCCTTAATGAACTATAATAAAGAAAAATAAATCGAATGAACTTGTTAATTTTATTCGCATTTCAACCATTTTTCATTTCATACAATAAAAATGTAATATTTTATTTTATATAAAATTGTCTTAAAAGGCGCAAAAGCTTTGCTAAAATAATCTCTTTTATCGAATAGGTTAACTTTAAATGTCCTATTTAGTGTATTTTTATTCACACGAGGGAACCGCGATTTCGATATGTTTGGGTTGTTGTGATGGGTTGTAAGGGTTTTTTGTAGTTATCATCTCGACAAACAGTAAACGCCATTATTACTTTCGCACGTAATAAAATTTAGTTTTTTTTCAATATTTAATTGACAGTGCTTTATAAATTTCAACTGAATTTTATGTTAGACAAACCCCGTATTATTAATACCGTCAAATATATTTTATTTCATTTTTCAGACACGTGCAAGCTACCTTAATCTCAACTGGGAAGTCGAGGCATAAACGCGACTTTTTAATTTATCGATATCAGTGATAAGTTACTGAACTTAACAGGCATTTTGGAGCTGTATATCAGTTTTCTCTGAAAACTCAACAATTATTAGGAATTTATTTTAGAGATGCTACTGAGTTTAAACTTTTTTGTAATATACGTTTATTTTACTTACATAACGAAGGTTAATAAACGATATCTTAAAGTTACTTTAATTTCTTTATCGTATGCGTATGCATGAGCATGCTTAAATCCTATGGTGCTAATGCCATTGAGGTATATTGGGTTTTATTTTATGTGCCTTAGTGCCTCATCTATGAGACATGCTGCATAATGGAAGGACATCATCGGGCGATCGAGCTAGAATTAGGAGGGCTATACATAGTTCGCGTAGGCAGACTACGGAGGTTGGATATGTTCCCACCTTACCTTCTTCTCCACCTTTAAACCAATCAGCTTTGGGGATGGATCCACTTAGAAGTCAGAGTCAGCCGCCATCAGGTGATGCTGCTTCAGGTCAGGTATGAGAATTACCAATTTCTTATTTAAAGTACCATTCAGAAGAATTAACCCTGTTGTAAAAATAGTCTGTGTACGTGTGATAGGATTTGATTAATTGGTTATGGGATTGTCACTTTCTACGGGATCTGTTTTTGCTGCTTTTATAAAGTGCTTTGGAGTTAATTTCATTAAACCTTATATAATCACTAAAAAGAGCCTTCTGGTATGTGGCTTTTGGTGACAGAATTCAAATATTTATGTTTATGTAATAGTAATAAAACCGGTGATGCAATTGCTTTATTATTCTTTTCTGCGAACGCTTGCATTTCGGTATTCTTAGCTCAAATTCTTTTGGGTGGGATCGAAGAATTTGCCTGACTTCGTGCAAACTTTTTTCCCAGAATCAAATTGATGCCCGTTGGTTCGCAATAGTATTAGTGTTGTCTTAAAAGCAGCCAAAGGCTCTTTGGTTTAGCTCGCCCTCGAAATTTCCTACAGAAATCTATTGAATTGGTTCTCTTTTGACCATCTTCACGGAGACGTGCTTTATGCAGCTTAAAAAAATGTCATTATGCATTTGTTCCTATGCTAGAGTTTTTACATTGAAATTTTCAAAATTTTGGAATTTGTTTAGCTTAAATTAGATGGATATACCTTAAAGTTAGTTTCGTTTCCTTGCAATGGCTAAGTGTGTTTATCAACTATGAAGACTAATATGGTACGCAGAATGGTGTAGTGCAATTAGATGTAAATGCATGTGGCAATAAGCGGGTATTCTAGGGCTATTATGTATTTTTAGTTTTTATTTAATTACTACGTTATTGATGAAACAATGGCTTGGTTTTCTTATTTCTTCTTTGTTTTACTAGAGAAGGGCGGACAGATTCTTGACTTCTTTCATTTTGATAAGGCATGTTGCAAAACAATTGGTTTTGAGGTTTATAACATCGATTTGAGTTATCTTTCGGGCATTGGTATGGCAAAAATATTACTCTACCCATAAATTTGTTTACATTATACTATGTGGCCAATAAGGTATTCTTAAAATAGTTTGAAAATATTACAGAGGAGGTTTTCGTTCTTTTTTCTTAGTTTTCTTCTAACTCCGGTTTATCTTCTTCTTATTTCCTTTGTGTTGGTCTAGTGGATTTATGACACTTCTCATTGAACTCTACCACCGAAAGACGGATTCGCTTTTTTCGAATCGACCGATTGAACGCATTAAGGTCTAGCAAAATGCCAATTACATGATAAGCCTTTTCACTGCGTTTAATTTCACAATTTCGTTATTTACATCTCATAGAGACGCAGTGAAATTTGGAATCAAGGAATTAGGAGGGCACCATTTCATTTGATCTCCTGAATTATTTCATTAACATATTTTTTTCCATTCTAAGTTCGATCAATAAATCCGTATGACGGGCTTTTGTGATTTCGTCGCCATTCTTTTCTTTCACCAAAAATTCTCCCAGACAAATTGTCTCTGAGTTTAGTGGTGATCGATCGGCTAATTACTTCTCATCTCACCTCCTATTTGTAAAGAGCAAAGCACACTGCAATTCCGCAGGCATGATTTCTCCTCAGTTGCGATCAATACTCGGTAATGAGAGGGTCGTTATTCTTTTAGATCTCAGTATCCAACTTTTTGTCTCCTTTTCTTCCCAAACGCCTCTTTGACATCCATCTGCGGTTGCCTTAACCGATTTGGTTTGATGGAATTTCAATCACGTTTTGGGCCAGTATTGAACCTTCTTGCGTTGATTTCCCTGTAGATTTCATCTTCGTCTTGTTCCTTTTACAGCAATGGACTTTTTCGGGGAACGGATATTATCATTCATTTCATTTCTGATGTATAAACTAAATTTTTTTAGTAGAACAGCGTTTTAAATAAGGTTTTGCCTATTAGTATTCAACTTACTATAGAAAACTATATATATATATAACAGTGAAAACTGGCTGAATTTGTGAATATTTCTGTTAAGTTTTTGCGTTTCATATCTAAAGGAATGCCTAGTGGTGGATTCTTATCTCAACCAAAAGTCACTAAAAATTTAATTTTTCCCCATTCCTATTCATTCTCACCAGGGCGAACTCTCACGGCAGAGAAATGGTGAAGGTCTTCTTCAACACACAGAGTCATCGAGCTTCATGAACACGAGAGGAGCAGTTCATGGTGTCCCGACAACTTCTTTTGGAGCCTCCCCTCGAAATCTCAGTGGGACTTCTTCATCCTCCTCTTCGGGAGCAGCTACTGGACACATTCGTATGAGGTATCGATCAGCGTCGTCTATACCGCCCTCATCTTCACCCGGGGGTCAACGTAGATCGATAGATCTTATATTGGAATCAACTGATCTCGGTGTTGGCGTTAGTGGAACGACAGAAAGCCTTATTGGGTAAGTCTCAGACATTATTTAAATAAATGTCTAGCAGCAAGACATCTGCTTTAGTTCTCAGCCTTTCTTTCTATCTTTTACCAGTCTACTACAAGTGGATAGAGAATAAAATGTGTTGAGCAGCTTATTGGAAGATGACCAGAAGTCATAAGGAAGAACGGAAGAGTATGTGTGTATCATGGGGAAGCGAGTAGCACATGGTACGTGGTGTACATAGTTGTTTATAACGTGGGGGGGGGGGGGGGGGGGGGGGAAGGGTGTAGATACAATTTTAGTGAAAGGACTACCGTCTTGGAACGAAATAATTATGGTGTCTGGATGGAGCCTATGCAATATTGACGATTCAAATGCGCTTTGAAAAGAGCTCAGGCCAAATTGGTTGACTGAGCATTTTGTTTGAGCTTTGGCAATAGCGACATCGTGCGTCCACTTTTAAAATATTCCCCTCGAATCGATTTGCTTTAATGACTTGATATGACTGAGTTCGTTACTATGTTCGTGGTCTTATGTTCCGCAGATCAGTCCATGAAATTTAATGGAAAAAGAATGTATGAGCATTTGGAAAACCATAAGTTATGCGGAGGTGTTTATTTGGTCCTTGAAGCAATGGAGAAGTTAGTTGAAACGGAGTAAAATCGAAAGCACGAGTCTAGTTGGAAAATTCGCACTTGCCATTAACTTAATTAGTCAGGTTTAACTAGTTTTGTTGGCCATTTCCTCCAGTAAGTGGGTATCCATATGTATCGACCTTGTGAGCTCTGACCTCATGGATGCAAACGTTGGCCATTGTTCGACGCCTGCACAAGAAATTGTTAACAATACTTGATCTGAGTAGAGTGGTGGTGTCTGATATAGAAAGCTAGTACCCTTATCCCATCAGACATATCCCCTCTAAAGTAAACTGTTGATCTTCCTGAATTCCAACAGTATATTACCGTTTTTCTCAAATTTGAGGACCAGTTGCTAAGTTGGGTCACATGAATATTGGTCAGTGTCGGGGGATTGCGAAAGGAAAAGAGCTATGAGAAGTGAACACGTATTTGCACTTAGAGAGTGGATTTCGGATTATGGACCTGTTGACCGAGTTAAGCTTCTTTCTCTCTTTGGTGTGTAACCTATACAAATTCATCAGCTGACAGTAAGAATGTGAAGGCGAATGAGTCATCATGTGTGCACACCATATTCATGACCCCCTCTTATTAAAATCTTGCCTTCTACCACCACTCTTTTTAATCAAAATCACATCTCTGGATGGACATCAGAATCTCTACCTGAGCAGACCAACTCCATTGACAATTGCTTAAAATTACTTTTGTGACCATTTAGCAGCGAAGATCTCTCAACAGTGGTAGGATCTTCGACCGAATTCTACACTATCGCTCCACGTGGAAATGTGGGTAGTGGACGATTAAGTGCGCGCAGTCCTCGACAGCCTTCACACGAGAATTCACCGTCGCAACAATCTCCACCTGCACCAACACCAGCTCCCTCTGAATCTCCCATCGTCTTTCGTCTGCGAGAAGAGAGTGCCACTCTTCCGGCTCCATTTACAGCTCCTGCATCAACTACTGCTGTGGTGTGTTTCTTGCAGATAATTCCCCATCAATTTATGGGGAAATAACTTTTATGCCTTAATGGAATTTGGGATTGTGGTCTTTGCAATAACATTAATAAGGTGGAGTTAAGTCAATCCACCAAACTGGCATTCGTACTAAAATATGCGTTAGGTTGGCATATATTTTTCGTTGTGGATATTGTGTGGCTAAGGAGAAAGTGAGATTTGAGACTCTTCGTCCTTAAGTTGGTCATAGCTATCTGAGATTGGTAATTGCGCTTCGGTGGTCGAAGAGGTGAAAATGTCCTATACATTTATCTCAGTCTGCAAATTATCTCATCTGTTTCAACTTTCTTACGCGACTTCCAATATAGGGGAGCAGTCTTGTGCTTTTGTATTCTCTCTCAAATTTAGGCAAATCAATGGCAGTGGAATCACACTCTCCTTTTCATTGGCCAAAGAGTTATTTTTTGTCAAATCGAGGTTTCAGACGGCGATTTTTTGTCCTCATTAACAATTGAGACTCGTTGTAATACAAAAAAAGTGTCGAATTTTTAATCGCTGAAATCGGCTTGCATTAAGTCCAATGACTTGCAAAATGAAGGGGAAGGAAAGAAATGCTGAAAGCATTACAACAAGGTGCCGATGCATAAAACATGACTCGAACTCCTGATTGTCTAAGGGATCCAGTGCTTATTGATCGGCTTTAAAATACTGTGACCCTTCTTCTTCTTCTTCTCACCTCCATTCCCTTGCTCATTAATTGGCTGAAAAAGCAAAATGTGATCGCATAATATTCAGCTGCTTACAATCTTAAGTTAATAGAGGAGTGGGTTTTTAAAAAATAATAACTTAGAAGAACTTCGTAAGTAGTGGGGTTATCTATCTTTCATTTATTTCCTTCTCCGAAGGCTGAAGAATGGAATGCCTATATTTTGTCCTCGAAAACGATTACGCCTTCTTCGCTTCGTTTCCATTCAGATAATTGGGATATATATTTGCATTGAATTTCGTTTAATTGGAGCGTAGCTATAATACCGATTGTCCAAGATCACGGTTTTCCTGTCAGTTTTTCTCTTGTATGTGCTTTCGTGAACCCGAATTTCATTACACATTTCCAAATTGCTTGGTAGGAGAAGTCGTACATCCGGATTGGGTTGGATGATGATAGCACTCTTATTTCCTCAGAGTAACATAGGCCTAGCCAATATATCATGTGATTGGTGTAATATTTACCAATTTGGGATGTGCGATAGACTTACCTCCACGTGGTGCACCCTGGGCAACGTATAGTCATACGGCAAAAAAGTCTATTAACCGGCAGTTGACTTCTGACTTCAAAATACCATGGCACGACTGCTTGTCATATTCGACCGTTTTCCACAGTACTCATCTTACCCTTTTCTCTGCCTCTGTGTCTGTCCGCCTCTTTTACATCTGTGAATCGCTCTTCTGTTCCCCACCCCTCGACTTTCTGCTACTTTGATGAACCTTCCCTCTGTGAAGCCCGAAGTCAATTAAGGGGCTAATGATAGCTATCAAAACACCTGCCATTTGAAATAAATAAATATTTACCAATTTCGTAACCAAGCCA